CCAATATTTTGGTTTTTAAATATCCTTCTCTACCTAGAAGAACCAGGTTCCTTGGAGAAATGTTGATTCCCAGACTGTGGCTGGGAAAGTACAAAATGAGCCTTGATCATCTTACCAGAAAGTAAGAAGTACTCAAAAAGTGTTGGGGACATGTCCATTGGACACAGGAGCCAGCCTGAAGGGGCAACTGGCTAAATCCTAGACAATTTCAGCAAAACAACAAGGAGTAATGAATGATAGGTACTAAAATAAGAATTCATGAATCCATACAGGTATTTTTTCATACTGATATTTTTTTTAAATGCAAAAATAAAAGGAATAAAGAAGACTCATGTTAGAGTGCCAACTAATAAATTTAGATGGAATAATGGAATATCACTATTTGGCAACTACCATAACCAGCATACTAGGCAAAAATCATCAATGGATATTAAATGATTTGATGAGAAACAGGATATCTATATATTGGCAAAGAATCTCCCCAAAAGACACCTAATTAATACAAAGGGAACAACAGTAACTCACTGCAAAACCTAGCAGACACCACCTTAAACAAGTGATCAAAATGAACTCTGAGGATGCCATAAGAAGGAAACAATCACTGCTATGGTATTTGTCAAAATTTAACTTGACTCTAAACATGAGGAAACATCAGACAATATATTAGACACTCACACATATATTCACACATACATATATACCTATGTACACACAAACATATTTCATGTAATGTATATAATTATATACAATGTAAAACATAAGTGTGTATATGTGTATAATGATAAAGCAAATATAGTAAAATATTACCATTTGGTGAATATCCAGGAAAAATATACAGGAACTGAGTTTTTTGTACTATTTTTGAAACATTTAAGTATAAAATTTGAAAAGAAGAAGAAAAAAAAGAAAGAACCCCACCAGCAAACTGGAGGACATACGCTGGTAACCTAACACTTATTTCTGGGAAGGGCCAACTCATACCATCCTACAAGCTCTGCAATACAGGACTCCAGAGAGTGAATTTCTAATGTATGGAATGTGGCAGCCCCACAGAGAAGAATAAAGAGATGATACAATAATTTTGGCCTGCCTCTATCATCTCTTGTCCTGAAAATTCCAAATTATCAAGATGAAAACAAATCCCTCCCTTAAAGACAGAAACTTGACAAGCCATGAAGTAGAAAAAAGAATTATGGGCATAACAGGATCTCAACTACATTAAAGATGCACAAAGGAAAGAAAAGCACTTAAACATGTAAAATGATTACCTCTGGGTGATAAAATCTAGTGATATTTTCCTACTCTACCTTCTAAAATTAGAACATAATACTTCATAAGAAAAGTTTAGGAAATAACAGTAATGAACATTGCCAAGTCACAGAGAACAGGAGCAATGACTACAGGATTTAGAAATATAGCAGGAGGGGAAGAATGAAGGGGGGAAATCGGAAGGGGAGACAAACCATGAGAGACTATGGACTCCGAAAAACAAACTGAGGGTTCTAGAGGGGAGAGGGGTGGGAGGATGGGTTAGCCTGGTGATGGGTATTAAAGAGGGCACGTTCTGCATGGAGCACTGGGTGTTATACACAAACAATGAATCATGGAACACTACATCAAAAACTAATGATGTAATGTATGGTGATTAACATAACAATAAAAATAATTTTTTAAAAAAATTAGTAAGATCTTGCCTTTTGAAAGGCTGAGTGCTGAAGTGTGTGGAAGAGTCAGGATATAGAATATTGGCCTTGCAATCTAAAAAAACAAAGTCCTAATCAGCCATGTTTACCTCTTAAAAAAAGAAACTATTATCTGTTGTGTTTTCTGACAAAGCTGTTCTGTGAATCATGCAAGATAATGTATGTGAAAGTGTAAAAGGATAGTAATTTAATCATATGGTAAATACCAATTAGATTTAAAAATAAAGGTGAAGTTAAAGGTGAAAAAATATAGAAGACAAATAGTTCTGAAACTTTTATATTTGATTCATTTCTCAGATCTACACAAGAACACAAAACAAAATGTCCATTTATGGAAGCTGCCTTATTCCCCCCCCCTTGCCTGTAAATGTAGTTTAAGTGGGTCCCTCTCTTTTACGTTACTTAACTCACTTAAAATGTTCATTTATTACATTATAGATGATTCACTGGCTCTATCCTAACCTCCACATCTCAATTAACGGTAAGTCACCTCAACCTAAAGGCTGAGCACTGTGATTAAAGGCAAATATCCTACAGCTGTGCCTTTTAAAGCTTTCACCTATTCAAATGACCTCATCTTTCTCTGCTTTTCTCATCTATACAATGAGTTATTACCTCATTCACAGATTTTTGAGCATGAAATGAATTATAAAACTTTTAGAATCATTTCCTGTTTAGAGTAACACTGAATAAAAATGAGTATTTATTATAATGGTTATTAAATATGGGCATCTAGCAAGCAATTAATAACATAGTTAATTCTCTCTAAACGTCTATTCTCTACACGGCTAACTTTTAAAATGCTACTCATCCTTCAAGACAAAGCTGGAATGTTGCCACTTCTTGATACCTTCCCTAATGATTCCAGACTGAAAAGTACTCATTTTCTCATACATTCTATTGTTACAGCATTGCCTACTTATTAAAGTGGCATTTCTTTACCTACTGCATCATGCTATTTACTTACATGTATTGTATCCACTACTAGATTGCTCCTTGAGGTCAAAAAATGTTCTTGTATTTACACTGAAGAGCCCCACACATTTTATACACAGTGACCATTAAATGGTCAGCTTAAACAATTTCAGGCCCTTTTGTTTTTGACATTAGTATATATTTGGGCAGTATGTGTATAAACAGATTCTACTGACTATATAGATGGTTGACCATTAACCTATATTGAACATATTATATAGGAAGAAACATCCAATAATTTAAAAATTCATTTTAATAAAAATTATCATGTTCAAGACAGCAAAACCACAGTGACCCTTGAAATGCTAACAGGTCTAATGATCTAAGAAGAAAGGAGTGGAGGAACTATTTATTTGGCTTCAGCAAAAGGAAGAAGTTTCAAAAGTCACCTGAGAAAATAAAATTACAAGTTAATTACAGATGTATGGGTTCCCAAAGTAGGAATCTACTCAAAGTATTGGCTATTGAAAACCTGTTTTCTTCAAAGGGCAGTATACATTACATAGTAATACACAGTAGTTATACCTAATAGGTTCTCTTGAAACTCTATGGTTTCTACTTTTGTGTTTTATGCTTTTAATCTTCGAAATGCTAGTTTTTCACTTAGAGGTCTAAGAGATCCAGAGCATTGTGACATCAACTTATTTCAGAAAGTATTTGCTGTCAATCTAGTTAGGCCAAAAGATTTCACCTTTTAATTACCTATTATTAAATTATACAGACTCCTAGTGCTTTTTTCTTTTAGTATTGTTTTCTAATTTTATTTTCTAAGAAGCCATTATAGATAAATAACAGAAGATACACCTGGAACGTTCAAAATCAGTTTCTATACCAAGGCTTCCTTGCCCAGGTGGTTTTAGTGTAAACACTTACGCCCTCTGGTTAACAGAAATTCAGTTACGCATAATCGTATCCTTCCATTTTAGTCTTCCTAACAACCTATGAAGTAAAACTTCTTTTTAACACCATTTTGCAGATGACAGATGTAACAGAGGTACAAAGCAAATGGTAAGTTTTCAGTGGGCTTAGTGAAGGGCTAAGTAACACTGAGGTTAAGCACCAGCAAGAAGCAGAGCAAACTTGGCTCTAGAACTCAAGCTCTTGCCTCTATTCCACCGTCCTACATACAACCTACTACACAAATTAGGTTGAGTTTTTTTTTTTTTTTTTAGACAGATGGAAACTGCTGACATGTGGTCATGTTTTCATTTAAATAGTATGGGCTTAGAAAATAATTATGTTACCTACTCATAAATTGCAACTCAACTTTAATCTGAGGACAGTTTATTTTCTGATCTCACGCTTACTGTTCATCACATGACTACCAGAAACGGGTCTGGTAATGTTTTATGCACAGAGCCCGAAAGTCTACAAGATTCACTGCACCCCACCGTTTTTTCCTGAGCTTACATATAGCTCAATAAGAAGGAAATCACATGGTCATGAAAATGCTCTGTGACAGCATTACCAAACCTGTATTTTGTATTTTTCTTTCAAACTACTATCGAAAATACTTTAATATAACCCCTTCCAGTCCTATTTGTCTTTTTTAAAGTCCTATATTATCCTCCCTTGTTTTATTCATCTTTAAATACTTCCACGTTTTCTCTCAACATTTATCCATGGGTCTAACAATAAAACGAAAATTATCATAAATGCCTGAATTTCAATTTGCTCCTGTGGAAAATGGAAAAAGACATTAGTCCGGCATAGCTGCGTCCTGAAACTTAGCAAAAGATAAAAGTCTACGCTGATAGAGCCAAGCGTGTTGACAAATGAATGAAAAAAAAAAAAAAAATCTCTGGGGTGGCTTCGCCATCCCTGATCTCCTCGCCAGAGGCCCACAGGCGCCAGGAGGCAGGCGGCCGCGACCCTCCTGCGACACCCCGAGCGCAGTAGGCCTCGATCCTCCCCCTCTGCCCGCAGGCTCAAGGCGCAGCAGCAGCCCGGCTACAAAAAGGACAAGGCATTGAACGGCTTCCGTCACTCCCGGAATTCCCAACTTGCTGGGGAGAGGAGGGAAAACCGAGGCGACGACGGGAGGTTCCGCTCCAAAGAAGCGGCCGACACAAACCCGGCAGGGTCTGTAAAAGGCAGGCACTAAAACTAACCAGACACAAGAGCTAAGATTGACAGTGAGGTACCCCGGAGTCCCGAAAAACGCAGCTCGCCGCCTCCCGCCCGCCCGAGGGGCGCGAGGTTAAAGGCCATCTGCAGAAGCTGCAAGCACATTGGCTGACGGACAGGCGCGCAGGCTCTGGGGGTGGGTCCCGTACTCGCCGCAGCCGCGTCTGCGGAACCCTGAATCCTCCAGCTACTCACCGGGGTCTGGGAATCCGGCCACAAGCAGACGTTTCAGCCAGAGCCGCAGGGGTTGAGAGGAGAGGGAGAGCGGGCGCAGACAGCCCGCGGCCTCCCCGCCGCGAGCCCTTCCAGCCCCGCCTCCCAAAAGGCGCGCGCAGAGCGTTCTTGCAGCCCCGGGGGGGGCGGGGCCTGACTCCGGGCTCTAGAAGAGGGCGGGGCGCTGGCTTTCCAGGCATGGGCTCCCCCTAATCTGTGAGCGTCGGGAGGGGCGTGGATAAAGGGGAGGAGAGCTTTTCCGGGTGTCCCGAGCGGATGGAGAAAAGGGGCGGAGCCGACTCTGGCTGGACTCCCCACCCACCTCTCCGACTAGGGAGGACCCACCCCTCTCTTAAAAACTGTTCTTAGGTTCTTCTGGGAAGCTCTAATACAGGACAGCTGGTTTTGATGGGAGGCTTTCCAAAGTTGCTTTAACTCGAGTACACCGGTTGTTTTCAAACTCTTTAGGGAACAGTTTAAAAAAAAAAACAAACTTTTCTTGAAGGCCCTAAGTAAATAAAGATGACATTTAATTTGCAAATGTATAAAATCACATTTGTAGTGGAGTACAGAAATAATTGAGAACAATGAGACAGGTGTAAAGAACAAGAACTTTCGAAATAGGGGTTACAGCTGAAGGCTTCTATCTTACATCAGCCTGAGAAGCCAAGAGAATTCTCTATTTTGTTTGGTTACATAGTAACAAGGAAATCCTGGCTCACAGTCTAGAACTTGCTGACGTGAACAATTTTTTAAGGGCTGTCCTTAAAATCACACTGGAGTTTTAAGAGGAATTTTAGTTGTGAAATATGCATATATGAATGTATCCCGTATGTGCACATTTTAAAAAATAATAAAAAGAATACCCTGGTACCCACTACAGAGCTACTAGCAAGATGAAGAATACCAGTATTTTTGAAGCCTTCTCAAAAGCCCTCACCATCTCGCTCCCAGACAGAAATAACCATTATGCTAAATTTTGTATTATTTATTTCCTTTAATTTTGAGCATAGTTATATATGTGTGATTTCTTTAAAAATATAAGTTATCCTGGTGTTGTATTTTTTATAATGAATCATACAGCATTTTCCCCTCCAGCTTTTTTTCGCTACACATTTGGGTTTTGAGATTTATCTATACACAGATACATTTCACATAGGCTGGCACATCACTGTAACACCTGTTATTGTTAGATTTTAAAATTTTTGCCTGGCAATAGCATCTCTTAATTTGCTCTTTTAATTTACATTAACCCCCTTGCCAATGAGGTTGTGCATCTTTATAAATGCTTAGTGGCCATTTGGTTTCAGTGAAATGCCTGTTCTCAATTTTAACTCACTTTTTATAGGCTTGTTGCTTTTGGAAATTAATTTGTAGATAATCTTTATTTTTAAAGTTCAAATACGTCTCTCTTGTTGGTTATATGTGTTTCAAATAGCTTCTCTCAGTTTATGGATTGTCCTTTAACTTTCTGTGGTATCTTTTGATAACCAAAAGCTATATATTTTAAGTAATGCTAATTGAATTTAACAAATTTTTACATTATAGTTTCATGCATTTTGCTTTCTTGTTTAAGAGTCTTCCCAACCTGAGACCATAAGATATTCTCTTTTATTTTCTAAAAGTTTTAAAGCTTAATTATGAAATATTTTTAGACACAGAAAATATAAATAAAATGAGTATGTTATAGGCTTTGTTGCTTTTGGAAATTAATTTGTAGATAATCTTTATATATTTTTAAAGTTTAATACTTCTCTCTTGTTGGTTATATGCACTCAGCTCTACACATTGAAAAATTTAGCGAGCCCCTCTTTCTTACAATTCTTCTCTAAAATTGCCTTAACTACTCTTGGCTGTTTGCTCTTTCATATAAACTTTAGGATGAATCAGCCAAGATCCATAAAAAACCCTATTTGGATTTTGATTGGAATGGATTTGACTTTATTGATTAATTTATGCACAGGCCTGGGAAATAAGGAGAAAGATCTTTATTGCTAATGCCAAAAAAGAAATGGATGCTGTTTTGCTAGTAGCAAGACAAGATCAACCCCAAGGATCTTGTGGGGGTAGAGACTATTATAATAATAAATGGGAATTAGGAGAAGCCAAAGGCTACTATTGGTTTAATGCATTAGAATAGTTTCAGTAAGAATTTGATAAGCAAAATTTGTATTTTTTCCCCATTCTTCCCTGTTTGGATCATTTTTTTTTTCCTTTGGGATCTCAGTGACCACCCTGATGCAACACATTTGAAATGTCTATTTACTACACAAAATCAATTTATCTGCAGCTCTCCCTTTTTTTCCTTTTGGCAATCCATTTATTAGATGAATGGCATATTCCTCCAGTGCTAGTTTTTAGTTAAAATACATACGAAAAATAGACAATTGAATTTGGCAGAAATTATAGCCATCCTGTATTTGAAAAATGTCAAGATTTAGTATGTAAAAATATATGTGATCATTACAACAAAACATTGTTCCCATACCTCCCAATAATTAAGTAATCCACACAAAAACACTTTGAAAAAAAAAAAAGTGATGTGGAAAAAAAAAACCAATGATAACATTCTCTCTATAAGTGATATTTCAACATTTCTTGCCATTAGCAAGGGACCAACAGAACAGTCAGAGTTATAAGATGAGGCATTAGTTGCAATACCAGTCCTATTTATAAATACTGTTTTGCATTGAATCTGATGGGTAGAAAAAGTCATGCAATGAGAATCTACCCTAATTTATGTTGGCAGACATAATCAAACAGCTTTTAAGAAGTAGGCAAGCACCAATATAGTTATAAAATAAAATACCCTTTCTTTCATTCAACATCAGGATATTTATTAATATAATAACTCCCATAAACGTATTAGAGTAGGGAATAATGATTATTTCAAAAAATGCAGGAAAAAAACTAGGCCCTCAGGGCTGATACTCTCTTATTTTGATTTACTAGGATTCTATGATACTGGAAATATTACTTTAGAATTTCTATTTTTGTCAATTTTTAAAATTGATAAACTGGTGGCAACAATTGACTCTAGAGAGAGAGAGAGAGTTATCTAAATGTTTAAACTGAAGCAAGAAAGGAATTTGTATCCTGAAATCCCCTACTGCACTGTAAAAGATTAGCGTCTCCTTGACAGCATGGATTTTGCCCTTTTTATATGTCCAGAGCCAACAAAAGTTATTGACATATAACAAGAATGCAATAAATAATTTATTCAGGGGATAAAAGAATAAAAGACTAAGAGGTTACTGACTCATTATTATTTAATCCTACTTCTGATATGTACTGTTTGCTCTAGTCCTAGAACTGTCCTGTCTGTCACCTGAATACTGTCTTTTTTTCCCCTCCAGGCCCTGCAGTTCATTAGAATCTCCTAGACATATTATGTCATTTCATACCTTTGTTCATCACTCCACTCACCTGACATGCCTTCTCAGTTCCTGTCGATATCCTCTCCACTCACGTTAATCAGAGTTCTTTTTTGCCAGCAATAGAAACTGAATCTGGCACACTAAAGCACAAATAGACCTCATGTGAAAGGTTACAGAGTATAGCAGGAAGGTGAAGCCTAGTAAATTAGGCAGTGGGCGGGAACCCAGAAGGGCTGGACAACTGGGATCACAGCCTCATGAAATGGTACAGATTAAGGCACTGATACTTTCAAGTGTGCACTGAACTCTCAAATGTTTTTGACACCACCATGAAGAATTTATCCATTCTGCCTGCATTGTTTGCCTTACTTCTTCAAGATTAAAATCTTTGGTTGGAAAAATTTGATTAGCTAAGCCTAGGTTATATGTCTGTATCTCCTTAGCTTCCTTGAAAAGGAAGTTGGTCCTTTTGGCTTCCTTAATGGGAAGTCAGGCACAAGACACACACTACGGTATTCCTCCAAAACCAGGATTTTGGGATTCTAAATAGCCAACAAACAAATGCAGTCAATCTCAAAACAAAAGTTCAATTATCTACTACACTATGCTTCAATGTCCATGTCAAGTCTACCTTCTCTAATGCTATTGTACTACGTACAATATAATTACTACTACATACATACATTAATCACTATTACAGTGAGTACAGGCAGTGCTATGAAACACAGCAATAATTTCTTCATTAATTAAATTGTCATACCATTCTTTACATCATGTTTTGCTTTATAAAGGTATAACTCTTGACTAGGCTATCTCTTGACATCATTTGGGATGCAAAGAATGTAACTCTCAAGAAATCCCCTGAATATAACACCAAAGCCTCTACCAGCTGATAGCAGCAGATAATTCAGAGATCCAAACTCTTACCCATCACCCTATTGCTCTAATTTTTCACCATGTGTAACCAGAGATCTTGAGTACCTACCAGTCTTGACAACAAAGAATACAATCTAACTCTATCTGACATAAATTCATGAATTGTGACACAGGTCAAAGAGGAAACTAGTGTTGGCGGGCCATGTCTCTAACTCAAAGCCGTGTAAATTCCCTGGCCTTATAGTCGCCACAGGGGCTAAGGTGCCTTCTTTACTCATTATAGAGGCTGATTTAGGATTGACTCACACCCTAGTATTAAACTCAGTGTAGGTAATTCTCAACTGCTATGGTCTCAGTGTTTGCATTCCTTCAAAACATGTTGAAACCAAACTCCTCCGGTGATGGTACCAGGAGGTGGAGACTTTTGGAGGTGGGGACTTTTGAAGTGATTAGGTCATGAAAGCAGAGCTCTCATGAATAGATAACAGTGCCTTTAGAAAGGAGGATCCAGAGAGACCCCGGCCCTTTTCTGCCATCTGAGGATAGAATAAGAAATCTATGGCCCAAAAGAGGGCTTTCACCTGACCATGCTGGCACCTTAATCTTGAACTTCCAGCCCCCAGAACTGGGAGAAATAAATGCTTGACGTTTATAAATCGTCTGGCTGTCATATTTTGTTATAGCGGCCCTAAGCAGACTGAGAAACCAACCTAATAGGCCAAGTCCCTCTGACAGAAGCTCTTTTCATTTCTGATTGAAGTACTTGGCCAGGTTATGGCACTGCAAGTGATGGAGATGGGAGAGAGTTCCGGTGTCCTTACTGGCCCACACAGAGGTGGCAAAGCATTCACCTCTGGCTAATTGGT